TTAGCCCCCCGCGCGGGTTCTTCCAGAGGTGGCGGCCTCATCCTGCGTTGCGCTACGCGCCAATCAATGCGAGCGCGCATGATGCCCCAGGCCCGGCAGGCGGCGGGGCGGCGGGGGTGCGCAGAGCGCCCATGCTATCTTGTAGTGGATGCCACGGGTCGCGTTCCATGGGGCGACCATGAGCTCGTCCATCGAGTGGGCGCACCTGGGAACGCCCCCCCCCCCGCCCCCCAGGGCAACAACTCAGCTGCCCTCCTGACTTCTTAGTTAGCCCCCCCCATTGCAATGGCAACTATTCTCGCGTCTTGGCTGGGCCAGCCTGTCTTGGGCTGTCTTTGGGCCATGGGGCGGGGCTTTCCCTGGCGTTTCCGGCGATGTTCCTGGCACTGCACGTGTATGTGATGTGTGTGGTGTGCATGTCGAGGTAGTATGTGCATGATGTGCGCGTGTGTTTACACATGTGTCAGTACGCGTATATGCATATGCTTCTGAGTTGTCGCAGGGACCTGCGCGTAACAACATCAGACGAACATATTATGTAAATGCCAACGTATGTATGTGAATACGTATATGTACACAAATATGTATATGCATGGGTGGTGAACATGTATATGATGCATACACTGCTGCCGCGTGCAATTACTGCATGTACTTCAGTCAGATATCAAATATGACTTGATCCTTTCTTCCTGCTCCTGCTCCTCTCTCTTCCTGGCCCCTCCTCCTGCTCCTCCTCCTCATTTTATTGAATATGCGCTTGCCTTGGACAAGCGCATCCCCCTGCCTGTGGATGATGCCCCCCATGGGGCCCGCCCTTTTTTTCTGTGTGTTCACGCATTATAAGCCCCCTGGGGCCGCGAGGGATATAAGCCCACGCATCATGCATTTCGCCAGCGCGGTGTTGCTGAAGCCCGCGGATGGGGAGTGCGAGAAGATGATTCTTCACGCGTCGTCTTGTTTGCCTTTGAACTCGGTACTGTTTCTTGCCCCTAGCCTTCGGGTATAAAAAGCATGGTAGTCGTCTCATCGTCAGGGGGGGGCCCCTCTCGTCCCACCGCCCCTTTCCTCCTCACTCCAGTGGGGGGAGCAGCAACAGCAGCAGCAGCAGCAGGCGGAGGCCGGCCAGACCACCCTCCACTGGGCCCTGCAGGCCCAAGACGCCGTCCCACCTCAAGCCTTCCTGTCCGCCCTGCCTGGCCCATCGCGGGAAGGGCGCCCGCAGCGGTCGCCGCGGCTGCAGCGCATATTAGCCCCGCTGTAGCTGTTCCAATAGAACCTCATAGAAGTGAAACTTACCCCCGGCAGGGGGGGCGGGGCGGGGGCGGGATGATGGGCTCCGTCGTCGTCCGTCCCGCCCCCATCCCATCCCCCTGCCTGGGGAAATTTTCACTTCTGAACCGGCAGAGCTCCGTCTTCTGCATGTGAGCCATGGTGGAGGATGCCCCCCCGCCTGCAGCTACCCCACCGAGCCTCGGGCAGGCTCAGGGGGGCTCGCGCCAGGGGCAGCTTTGTCGGCGCGCGCTGCACTGGAGGTGGTGGACGAGGAGATGGAGGAGGATGGGCAAACGCAAGGCGGAAAAGGAATGTGAAAGGTCGTCCCGGAGGAAGGAAAGGCAGGGGAAGGAAGGAAGGGAGGGGAATGGGGGAAGGAGGGGCGGAGGAGAAACGACGGGGGAGGAGGAGGGACGAGTAGGGGAGGAGGAGGAAATGGGGGAGGACCGGGAGGGTAGGAGGGAGAGGAGAAAATGGGAGGGAAGGAGGATGGAAGGTGGATAAGGGGGGGGGAAGGGGGGGAGGAGGAGGGGTGGCGGAAGACAAGGGGAGGAGGTCGAGGAATGGGGGTAGTAGGAAAAAGAGGAGCACAGTACGGATCGTGGGGGGTAGAGTCAAAAAAACAAATAATGAGGAACACGATCCGGTGATCATGATGCTGTGGTGATGATGGCGATGGTGACGAAAAGAAGGCGATGCGGAAAGCAACGGCGGCCTGTCATGGTGGGGGCAACAGCGGTTGCAATAATGCTGATGCCGACGCAGCAAAGGATTATTAATCATTATGCGGCAGTGGCGATGAGGAAGAAGCAGGGGAGGAGGAAGGGGGAGGAGGAGGGGGGAGAGCGACGAGAGGGGGATGATTATTGTGATGATGATGGCGACGATAGCGATGAGCGGGGAGGGTGACGGCGATGGCGATGGCGATGGGTGCGATGACGATGGCGGCGACCAGGGGGAGGGGGGGGAGGAGGCGAGGAGGAGTCGGAGGAGTGGGAGGAGGAGGAGGCTGAGGAGGAGGGCGGTTGTGGGCGAGGAGCCCATGAATGTCGGAGTCTCTGCGAAGGTCGCGGCGGAGGGCGAGGGCTCCATGGATGGGCCGGGGCCCCATGGTCCAGGACGACCTGATGGGTTGCTTGGCATGTGGCGATGCCTGCTGTGGCGAGGGCCCTATGGACGGACGTGCCGCATGCTCGTGGGCTTGCCACCCACATAGCCCCCCCCTGGCGTCGTCGACCCCCCCCCCTTCGCAAATATTATAGCCCCCAACGAGATGCCCCCCCTTTCCGCCGCCGCCGCTCCACCCCTTACGCCCGCTGCTGCTGCTGCTGGTTGCATCTAGTGGCTCAAGCTGCTGGCCTGACGCACGCCAGGCGCTAACATACTGGGCGCTACAACTGGGCGCTAAACGATGTGCTGGGCGGGCTGCTGCCGCTGGAACTGCTGGTGGGGGGCTAATAATGCGAAGCGCATCAGCAACGACGAGGCTACTGCCATCACTTGGCAGTTCGCTGAAAGCCGCTGGGGCTGCCTTCGCTAGGCTCCGGCTACCGCCGCCTAAGTGGTTTCAGTTTCAGACCGACTACTACTTCGACCACGACGTCACCGTGGTTTTCGGCACAGGGGGCTACGACGGCGACGAGCATTACCAGTACTCTAGTAATGGGACCTACCGGCGCGTGCGCAGGGTGAAGATCCTCATGCAGTGAGTGAGGAGCGGGGCTACTAGGTACGTAGTAAGTCGCCAGCAGCAGCGCGGGGCTAGGATATGATGAGGAGGCGGGGCTAGATGAGGACGCAGTGCAGCAGCCCAGACAGAGCCCATGACAGACCTGGTTAGATGTCGAGAAGAAAAAAGAAGAGCGGAAGATATGGGAAGGAGGGAGAAGAAGGGGGTGTCGGGATGATGGTGGCGGTGATGATGACGATGACGACGAAGACGACGATGGCGAGGGGGGCGATGGGACTGCGTGAGGGAGAGAGCGAGTGTGGGCACCCATGGGCGAGGTGGAGGAGGAGGAGGGCCTAGGAGGGCGAGGGCGACTCTAGGGCGAGGAGGGCCTAGCTAGGAGGGCCCATGGGCGAGGTGGAGGAGGGCCTGGAGGAGGGCCTAGGAGGGCAGTACCACCTCTGGCGAGGACGACGCGCGAGGATTTTATTATCAGTTATGAACCTTAATTCCTGGGTGCCAGATGCTGGTGGGCTAGGTGCCAGATAGCGCGGTTAGACAATCGCCGTCCTCGCCACCGCTCTCACCACTGTCCCGGCCACCACTGTACCCTCCACTGTCCCACTGTTTTCACCACATCCCCACTGTCCCCGCACCACTGTCCCCACCACCACCGTCCCCACCACTGTCCCACTGTCCCCACTGTCCCCACTGTTCCCACCATTGTCCCCGCTGTCCCCACCAGTGCCCCCACCAGTGTCTCACTGTCCCCACTCTCCCCACCATTGTCCCACCACTTTCCCAACTGTGCTACTGTCCCACCACTGTCCTCACCACCACCTTCACCCCTGTCCCCATCACTACCGTCACCACCACAGTCCTGCTGTCCCCACCACTTTTCCGCTGTCCCCTCACTACTGTCCCCACCACCACCGTCCCCACCACTGTCCGCACCATTGTCCCACTGTCCCCACACCACTGTCCCCACCACCACCGTTCCCACCACTGTCCCAGCATCCCCACCATTGTCCAAGCGTCCCGAGGAGCGGGAATGGTGTGCCAGCGGCGAGGGGGGGGGGTGTCGAACCGGTAGTGACCCCCCTGTTTTCGAGGAGGGGGAGGGGGGTTCGAACCGGTAGTGACCCCCACCGGTTTTCGAGTGGGGGGGGGGTCGAACCCGTAGTGACCCCCACCCCCCCTTATCATGATGGACTCGGGAGGGGAGGAGGGGTTCGAACCGGCAGTGACCCCCCCTCGGTTTTCGGGGGGGGGGAACCCCCAGTACCCCCCCCCGGTTTTCCTTCCCGCCAGCAGCGGTAGAACACGCTTTTTCCAATATCACGACTGGCGCTCTGGGTCCCACCTTGCCGCACCATTTTTCGAGCCAGATCGATCCATGAGGGTCCGGGGGCCAGAAACTTGGCGAAAACGCCAATGAGAAAGAATTGCAACGCACAAATCTGAAGCTCAATTCATATCGAATCGTGCCGCGTGGTATCGTCGGAACGTCGGAGTCGAATCGGCCTGGGCCGGCCGAAAAACCCGTGCCGAAGCGGAAAGATATCGGGACCAGATATGGGCCCTCTGGCCTGGCGCACCCCAGGCAGCACGAGGCTGAAGCAGAACAGCGACAGGCGGCCAACCTCAGGAAAAGCTATGGACGTCGAAGTATTGGTCAACGGCGAAGGTGTGGTTCCTGAATTAACGCCTGTCGTGGAGTACCATATGGGATCTGCTCTAGTACAGGAAAATACGGTAGATGCATACACCCTTTATCCGACCTTGTACTTCGCCGAACGCGACGGCCGCGTTCGCTATACACGTATCCGCCCCGCCTATGTCTATGTACGCAGCGGCACACAATGCGTGCATCTATATATATATATTTAAACATACATACATACATACATACATACATACATACATACATACATACATACATACATACATACATACATACATACACACACACATACATACATACATACATCATACATACATACACACACACATACATACATACATACATACATACATACATACATGCATGCATGCATGCATGCATGCATGCATGCATGCATACATACGTATACATGCATGAATGCATACATACATACATGCATACATGCATATATATGGTGTATGCATAGACGCCTCTGGCTAGAACGTTGGCATCGTTGGGCCCAACTCGTCTTCTAGAGGCATGCAGACTTTGCCCTACACTGCCTGTCGGCGGGAGGGCTGTCGTTGCCGAAGTGGTAGCGGTCGACGTCGTCGCGACCGGCTGTGCCGCCAAGCGGGGCTCGGTGGAGCTGATAGAGAAGCCCATCAACCCCCTGGCCTCGTCGATCGCGGCCACGGAGCCCGTGGCGGCGTCGGAGCCGCGCGTGCTGGGCCTGTCAGGATCAGCCAACTTCGGATCGGGAAATTGGATCGGATCGGAACACGCCTGGGGTCCGTCCGCACCCGCAGGGAGCGGAAGTCGAATCGGACTGGCCGCAGCAGGATGTGCCACGGCGACCCTGCAGGCATCGGGACGCATCGGGGTGGCAGGAATCGGCTGTGCGCAGGAGTGGCCTAGGCAGTACAGTGGGGGCGCTGACCTCAGTAACCCTAAATGAGGAACGAGGCATCTTTTTCCCATAAGTGAAACTTCGATTTCCCATCGAAAAGCTAAGAAAAGCCGAAGGCGAACTGCAAAACAACGAAGGAACACCGAGCGCCTCCCCAACGAGAAGGGCTCCTTCTTCAGCGCCCCGGCTGTAGTAGCCTTTGGTGCGTGGCGTTCGGGAGCCACGGGAGGTTGAAGCATCAAAGGATGCAGGATTCAATGAGTGTGGGTGGGGTGGTCGGCATCTGTTGTACCTCCATTAGTTGTGGTAGGGCTATGGTACCCACCTCTGATTCCTGACGGGCTTGTGGTGCCCGCCGATGCCCACCTGGCCCCGTCCACAGGGACCTCGCACCCCCCTCGATGGTGCCAAGACCCACGGCGCCAAGATTTGTTCATACTGAGACCCCCCGGTAAAACGTCCCACCCTTTCCCCGTGGCGCCCGTTGCAAACATGACTCGGGTCCCGGTGAAAAGGCTGGCTTTCCCCAATCGACTTCCCGTGAGCCAGCACACGGAAGGAGAAAGTCCAAAATTCCATATCTCCACGGTTTACAAAAACGATAACAATCGCACGCGCCGTTACCTTCGACGCCTTTCCAGAACGAGCGCAAACATTATGCGAGCACCCGTAAAGGCGAACCACAAGCGCAACGGCATTTTTGCACAACGCAACGCCTGGCCACTCCGCAACAACAGCGTGCACTGCAGCCCGCGTGTAGAACACAGTGCCCGCATGCACCACAGCGCCTGCGCACACCATAGTGCATGCGCACCACGGCGCTTTTGTGCATCGCCAGCTGCCGCAGCAGCGGGAACAGTTTCACCCACAGCACCTCAATCCCTGTATGCACCTCAATGCCAGTTCACCTTCGGAAGCCTCCGGGCCACGTCGGTCGTCGTCGTCCTAGTATCCCACCTCCTCATCCTCCTCCGCCTCCTCCTCTTTTTATTTCCTCCTCCTCCTTGCGTCCTCATCCCTCTCCTTCTCCTCCTCCTCCTCCTCATCCCTTGTCCCCCCCCCCTTTCCCTCTTCCTCCTCTTCATCCTCCTCCTCCTCCTCATCATCCCCTGTCCTCCCTCTCGTTGTCCTCTTCCTCCTCTGAATCCTCCTTCTCCTCCTCCTCCTCCTCCTCCTCCTCCTCCTTTACTTTTTATTGCCAAGCTCTGCTATTTTCGGTGCCACCCACGGACCTGCGCAGTGCTGAAAAGCTGGCTAGCTCCACGAACTGCTCAGGTCATAATACTCGGCCATGCCTCCAGGCTGGCACCCCTGGACAATATGGTGCACCAAGGCACCATCGTAGTCACCCTAGATAGGCGAGCATTGTTCGACGATTCTCGTCTCCAAATGCAACGTCAATACCTTTCAAGAGGCCCTTGCCGGTCTAAGGCACGCTGCGGTGTTCGATCGAACAGCTGCTTGCCAGACATTGCTCCACGAGTGGGGGGGCGCCAGTCGCGTCCGATCTTATAGCAGCAAGAGGGGCCAACGCATAGATTTACGATCCCGGCCAGCTGGTGGAAACTTCAAGTTCCCAGTCGAACAACCCAATGCAACAAATTTGGATGCGTGACGCCATCAACGATTGCTTGTCCGACTCAAGCTGGCGCGTCTGCGCAATTCTTCGCCCTCGGCGTTATCGTGCAAATTCTGAATTGCTCGGATGGTTCCTTGTGTGCAGACGCCGGCCATCACCCACGTTTCGTTTTCCCCTCAGTCTCCGCTAGACGCCGTTTTAACCAGGCTTTTACGCAGTGTTAACCCCAGACTTGCCGATACGCTGATTCACTTTACTTTGGCACCTTCAGCTCTCCGAGGCGACATCGCCATGCTGGGGTGAATCGCAAGTCTGCCCCGTCGTCTTCGTCGGCGGCGGCGTCGTTATCCTCGGCCGTGTCTCCTCCTCCTCCTCCTCCTTCCCTTTTCTCCCCCCCCCCCCCACCCCCCTGACCATTGCGCGTGGATCGCAGGGTGCGCGCCTCGCGTGGTGCCGCCGTTGGGGCGTGGCCCTCCGCACTCGGTGTCTCCTCCTCTCTCTCCCTCCTTGTCGTCAGGGTCGTCTGCTGCTGTTTTTCCTCCCTCCCTCTCCTCCCTTTTCATTGTCCGTCCTTCCTCATCCTTTCCCTCCGTCCTCTTCGCGCTTCGGCCTCGCTAAATGCTTGACGACCTTCTGGGAACCGGATTGCTTTTGGCCTTGTGCCAACTCGTTGCTGGGCAGGCCAGACATTGGGCAGCATCATCATAATTTATATGTTTTTCAGTCCGCCTTTGTCCCATCTGGGATCGGGCTACCTGGCACACGGCTCACACACTCCGAGTTTCTCATTAAACGTCGGGGGGGGGTCACCCCTGCCGACAAACCCACATCGACCCTCGTCGCGGGCAGCCACCGCGCGCCGAAGGCGCTCCGACCCCCGTCGCGGCGCGACGACCAGACGAGGTTGACCCCCTTCGATCCCCCACGCTTATTAAGAAACCCAGATAAAAGGTATACATGGGTCGTCTTCTGCCCGGAACCCTCTTCGCGCAATGCTCCACTTTCTCTTCGACAGATCCTCCCCCGCCTCCATCTCCCGTCGTGCTCGGGGGGCCGGAACTTGTGCAATAATCCGAAACCCGGATATCAGCGCACGCAGCCTGCGTGAACGGCGCTGGGAAAATTGAGCACGACCTTCGGACACACGCCTGGATACCCGCACGGCGACCAGGAAGCGATAGGATCTGCCTACGCGCCCCCGCAAGCCCGGGAAATGCTGCGCAGGAGCTGTCCAGGCGCAGTCCAAGAGCCCAGGAAACGCTGCCTCGAAGGTCCGCAGGCGCTGCCCAGACCTCGGAAATTCTACCAAGGAACTGCCAAGGCGCGCGAGTGCAAGAGCGCTGAAACGCTTGCGACCCACACGGCTTCCTTTCCCTCCCTCGCATTATGTGTTTGTGACCCGCGGAGCTGTGAAGCGCTGCCTCGGAGCTGCCAGGACATGCGCGCGAGCACGGGTAGCGCGACGAAGGCACTACGCAAACGCTTGCGACCCACGTGTGGGGAATGAGCCGGAAAACGGTTGCGGGACACACGACTGGCTCGAGCAAGCCGTACGATCACTGACCGGCAGCGGTAGGGACGAAACTGGCCTATCTCAACCTAACTGCTCCTTATCAAAACCCTGATAGCTCTCAAGGAACTATCTGGCATTTGTTCGCCAAGCTCTCTTTTCCCTTCCCTCCCGAGAACTGTTGTTCTGAAACCCACGGACATGGGAAGAACTGCTCAAGAGCCTCGTCTTGGGAATGATTCCGAAAGTGCTTGCGGGACACGCTGCACGTTACGGCAAATTGTTGTGGCGCTCTGTGACATGCGGCTGCGGGGAGGAGGCTGGCCTAGTTCAATCGACATCTTTTTCTGGAGCTATCCCGGACCCTTCTGCCCGACGCTCTGCTTCCCATGCCTCCCCTCACGTCGTCAGTTTGTGAGCCACGGGCCTGGGAAATGCTGCCTGGGAGCTGCCTTGGCACTGCCTGGGCGCTGCCTGGGTCCTGCGTGCGAGCGCAGGAATCGCTACGGAGGAGCCGCGCAAACGCCCGCGACCCACGCAGGGGGAATGAGCAGGACAGCGCTTGCTGGACACGTTGCTGGCTCGAGCAGGCCAGCGCGACGCTCACTGGCCAGCAGCCGTGGGAGAGGCTACTATTGGCCTACATCAGCCTGCCGGTTGTTTGTCGAAGCCCCTTATAGAAATCTCTGGGGGGGCTGCCCTGGAGTATCCTGCCCGACTCTTTCTCTCTCTCTCTCTCTCTCTCCCTCTCTCTCTCTCCCTCTCTCTTCCTTCCCCTTCCTCGCACGATGTGTTTGTGACCCGTGGAGCTGGTTCATCCCAGCCTGCCGGCTTTATTTATTTGAAGGGGCCCACAAACGCACAAATAAATAGACACAAATAAAATGAAAAACCCATATATTTTCATATATTTTCAGGGTTCCTGTCTTCCCCCCCACTTCCCATATTTTCCTATATTTTCCTGGGAGTCGACGATTAATTGTGTCTGTGTGTTTCTTTCCCTCCTGACTATTTCAAAAAACCCTTACAAAACTCCTGCACTGCTTCCGCAGCGGCCGCGGGCGCCGCTCCCGGGCCCTCCGCGGGCGCAGGCTCATGAAGGGCGAGCAGGCGCCGCCCCTGCCGCAACGGACGCGGGCGTCGGCGACGTCGCGAGCGTTGATCGGGCCAGGCGAAAGGGGGGGATAGCAGAGGGGGGGTTTGAGAATCAGCTCACGCAGCTGATTTTCCCGGCGCCTCCCGGCGCCCGAGGCGGCTATGGATCGAGGAAGGCCCGGCGGCGAGGCCGAAACTAGCTGCATGCAGCAGATTTCGTAACCCCCCCTTTCCCAGTCCGCCCCTTTCGCCTGGCCCGAGTTGAAGAGGCGTCCCATCCTCCTCGAACTGCCCCCCCCCATCTGACTTCGGCACCGATGCTAGTGTCCTGAAGTTGGGCAACGATGCTACCAGCCAGGCCACCACGCTCAAGGTCGCCATGCACCTGGAGCCGTCCCGCGAAGAGCCGCGGAGCGTCAAGTGGCTGATTTCTACGTTCAAGAAGGTTTGGAAGCTCGCGGCCAGGCTGCTCCCGTCCTCCCTCATCCGCCGCATTCCTGTTCCTCCGCCTCCTCCGCCTCCTCCTCCACGCCCTTTCACCCCATCCCCCGCTCGCATGCTGACAGCACGTGCCTGCGCCGAAACGGCGGCACTGTTCCGCATGGGGGATGTGGTCCGCGCGGAGACGACAACACCGTTCTCAACCAGGGACAGGGGCCAGCGCTGAGACTGGATAACCGTTCTCCCTTACGCACGTGGCCTGAGCTGAAACGAAAGCACAGCTTCCCAAAAGGAATGTGGCAGTCACTGAGGCGAGAACAGAATCCATACTTTGTTGAAGCGACCTTTCTATAATGTATAACGATATGCCGCAGGTCTTACGTCTGAGGCGACACTGACGACCACGCCGAGCCCTGATCTGAGAGGGCGTCCCCAACGAAATTGACCCGACCATCTTACACATCTGAAGAAGTATCTGTGCTGCCTTCTCTCGGCCGCATCTGACACAACGGACCAGCAGAGTGGGCACAAAGAATGCTGGCACTGCAACAGTCTGAGAAAATTGATGAATTTCCGTGACGACAATTCCACACTTGATAAAGATCTCTGCTGTTACAGTGGCGCCAGCGCCGGGAAAGCAGGGACGACTTAAACAGGAGTCACAATGACGTCGGCCCCTAGAGGTCTCGACCCATTCCGAGGACGGGCTTCTCATCCCGAGCCGTCCTCTGAAGGCCCCGGGGCCCGGCAAGGTTCCCCAAGCGCCGGAATTGGCGCAAAGACTCTTGTCATGTTTTTTTTTTTATCTTAACCCGAGTGGGGTCTGGATGAGGAGGTGTTCGGTGGCAACTCATGGGAGTCTCCCATACCATCTTGTCGGCTCTTGCGAATCGACGCTATTCGACGCTAAATCGACGCTAAATTGACGCAAATCGGCGCTAGCCGACGCCAAATCGGCGCTATCTCACCGACTCCCAAACGCTAATCAACGCTAATCGACGCTAAATACAAAACTCTGAGGGTACACAAGGCTCCCATGATTTGCTACCGAAGTGGGTGGACGGGCGCCTGCCGCCTAGCACCGGGGCCAGGGGGTCCGTGTACACCAGGAGGGCCAGCGCGGCGCCCATCAGGAACGCCAGCGCCACCGCCCGCCCGGGCGAGCCGATGCTGCACCACCACCTCGGAAGATCAGAGCATCGCATCAGCATCCCGCCGGTCGGACGACCCCGTCAGCGCGTTAGAAGCCTCTCAGATGGGGCTCGGAGGATCGCACCGCATCGCCGATGCATCGGCGAGGTATCGTCACCGTCGGCTATGCACCGCCGTCGGCGTGGGAGAAGTCGGCCTCTACGTCGAGCCGCATTGCTGTTGCATCGGCGATGCGCAGCGATCCTCCGGCCCCGTCTACTCCGACCCAATCTGAAAGGCCTACAGCGTTGCTGCTGAAGGAGCACCAAGCTTCTGTACGACCAACAGATGAGTAACACGCGCAGGTCGAATGCCGACGCGCGTGTCCATGATGCCAAGGTCTATTCCCAGACATCCGGCGATGGGATCCGTCCACTGCGCGAACCCAAACAGGTCCTAACCTCTGCCACGGGAGCAGCTTCCTGTCCCGGACCCATTTCTGATGGCCCCCGAGCCCGACAGCATGCCACGGATGTCGAAACTGAGGAAAAACGTCCAGACTGAAAAACAGACCGTCGTAGATTGGCGGCGCGCACAAGGGGTGGGGGGAGGGGGGGGGGCTTCTTAGAAGCAGGCTGCTTCTAAGAAGCCCCCCCCCCTCCCCCCACCCCCCTCTGCGCGTGGCTGAGTAGATCCTGTTTTTCAGTGCATGACTCAGGCCTCCAGCTGCCGTTCGGGGCGATCCTGCCCCCGCCCAGCCCAGAACGCCCTCGGCGCGGCGCCGCTGCTGGAGCGCAGCCCGAGGCGAGAGAGCTCCAGGGCGCCAGGGAGAACCTCCAGGGAACCTCTGAGATCGAGGCCAGGGAAGGACGCCCGAGCTGATCAAGGCGGCTTCGTCGGAGGCACGGGCCCAGACATGCAGTGTCGCCACCTGCTTCATATACAGCCGGGGCGTTGACTTAAGGAATCCCAGATAAGGAACGAGGCAGCTTTTTTTCCATAAGTTGAACTTCGATTTCCCATCGAAAATCTAAGGAACACCTAAGGCAAGCTATGAAACAATCAGGGAACACGGAGCCCCTCCTCAACGAAAAGGGTTCCTTCTTCAGCGCCCCGACTGTAGGGTCCCTTGAACTCCCGAGCCTTTCCTCACGGCCCGACGCGAGCAGGTCTCCTTGGATCACCGCACGGGCTGTTGAGGAGCTTTAGGGGGTCATAAGTGGACTCGAGTGCGGGTAAGATCTGGCGGCTACTGTAGCTCACAAGTGGGTTGGGGGTTAGGAGCTTCGCCAATTGGCTCCGCCCACTTAGCGCAGATCCTTGCCACCCGCACCCCGCTCAGGGCACCTGCAGCCCACTTCAAAGCTAGGTCAGCCCACCTGTAGCCCACCGCGGCATCCACTTAGAAAGCCCCTATTCGGGCGTTGGCAGAACTGGGTTTAGTGGGACCTGGTTTAGTGATTTGTACCGGGGGCGCCCCCCCCGTCCCATTTCCACTAACCGGAACTGCCGTCGCCCGAAAAACACCAGTTACGGCAAACCTGGCTTAGTGAATCTGGCCAATTGAGGGGCCCCAGGGCCCTACCACTAACCGGGTCCCCTTACCCGGGGTCCTGGCTATACCCGACCTGTCCCCTCCGAGTCGGGGGCCTATCCCACCCCGCCACCCGCAGCAGCCGTCCGAGGACCGGCTACGCCCCCTGAACTGCCACGCCGCCGCGCCCTGCCCAGGCGCCGGCGCGGGCACCAGCCCGCCGTCGCCGCCCCCCTCCGCGGCGGCGGCGGCCACAGCCAGCTCCGAGCCGCCCCCTGGAGCAGGAAGACATGCCACAGGCATCGACTTCCGGAGCTCCGCGCGGACCTCTTTTGCACGTGCGCTGTGGCCCCCTCCCCTGGCGCGCGGAGCGCCCCACTGGCGGCGCACCCTCCCTCTCATTCTTCCAGACCTTCCGTGCTGACCTTCCACCCTCTTGCGCTACCTCAAACGCTGAGTTATCTTGAATTGCGTAAGGTTTACAATGGTTATAACGAATTGTTTGAGGTTCCAGCGAGTTCCCGAAAAACGCAAAGACATTCTGAGACACCGTTCCTTCTCTCTTGTTTCCGCCGCCATCACAGCCTTCACCCTCATCATCATCCTCATCATCATCATCATCATCATCATCATCATCACAATCATCATCATCCTCATCATCATCATCATCATCATCAGCATCAGCATCAGCATCAGCATCAGCATCAGCATCATCAGCACCATCACCATCACCATCACCATCACGTCACGATCATCGCCAGTATTGCATTCGAGTGCTTTACTGCGCACTGCATCTCTAGGACGCATTTTCTTAATTAGCTGGTCGTTGAGGACCTGTCTGGGGGATGCGGGGCGGAGCGAGCGACCTCCTCAACCCCTCGCTCCTCCCCGCATCCCCCAGACAGGTCCTCAACGACAAGTTAAGTAAGAAGATGCGTCCTAGAGATGCAGTAGCAGTGAAGCACTCTGGTGCAATACTGGCGATGATCGTGACGTGATGGTGATGGTGGTGGTGGTGATGGTGATAATGGTGATAATGGTGATGATGATGCTGATGATGATGTTGATGATGATGATGCTGATGCTGATGATGAGGATGATGATGCTGATGATGATGAGGGTGAAGGCTGTGATGGCGGCGGGAACAGGAGAGAAGGAGCGATGTCTCAGAATGTATTTGCGTTCTTCTGGCACTCGCTTTCACCTGATACAAGCACTTGAAGGTAGCGCAGAAGGTTGGAAGGTCATCATCATCACCAGCATCATCAGCAACAGCATCAGCAACATCATCAGCATTAACATCATCATCATCAGTTGCCAGTCGCATGTTCTTATCCAGGGTCTTAAGGTTCAGGGTTTAGGGTTAAGGGTTTGAATGCGCCACATGCGTCGACGTATGGCGTCGGGTAGGGTGTCGACGTAGGGCGTCGGGTAGATCAACCAAGACTTGAGCGTATTGTGTTGCAGCCAGTCTGGACCCCAAACGGCGTCATCTGGATATATTGTTATGTACTCGGTGGTGCAATCTATGTGGTGCAATCTATGTGGTGCAATCGTGCACGTGAGACACACGCTACACTTGACGCCGTCGCACCCGCAATGTGCGAACCGACGTGGGCGACGACGGGCGACCCCGCACCGACGCGCGCCAGCCCGCGCATCACGCGGGCGCGGGTGGATGACAGTTGGGCGGGGTCACCCGTCATCGCTCACGTCATCGCAGATGACGGGTGCGATGGCGCCTCAGATATTGGGCGCCATGGGATAGTATTGAGAGGGTGGGGATGGGCAAGAGGAGGAGGAGGAGGAGGAGGAGGATGAGGAGGAGATGAGACGACGAGAAGAGCCATGGAATCCACAACTGTCTGAACGATGAAACAGCTGTACACAGGATTCACGCTCCTGAGCTATGGCACTGGCCCGTCGGCACCTGTGAGGCTGGCTCCTTCCTCATCATGGTTCCTCTTCCTCTCCCTCCTCGTCTCCTCATCCCTCATCCCTCATCTCCTTTCTACTTTATTGGTATTCACCTCCGCCTCCGACCTGTTGTGCTGTAAAATATGATGCCCCCCCATTGGGCAAGGGCGCACGCGGCAGAGCCGTGGCGCAAAGGCGCAAAAACGCCGTTGGGGAAACATTCACCACATGCAATCATTGCGGCCCGTCTAGGTCGTCCTCGAGCGTCGCCTCCGTGGTCGGCTGCACGTCGTTCCAGCCCCTGGCCAGAGAGTCGGGCGAGCTGTGGTCGGGGTACTCCCAGAGGGGCTCGAGCTTCGGGTCGACGATGGCGAAGTACCAGAGATTCTTCCACACGTCATCATCGTCCGCCAGGGGGTCGCCCTTGGCCAACCCGCTGCCGTTGCGGAAGATGCGCACGTCATTGATTAGTTGGAAACCGTTCGGCAGTGCCAGCTGGGTCACGAGCCACGTCTTCAGGACGGCACACGACGCACAGTCGCCGCGACCAGCCAGCACAGGGTTAGGAACTTTGATGAACTCCCACGCGCCCGTCTCCTGAATCTTCACCGTGAACGTCCAGACGGGCTCGCAGCTCACGCCAGAAACGATGCTCTCAGCATGAGGGTCCAGCAATGACCTCTTCGATGCGATGAGATTGATCGTGCGATACGTGGACGGGTTGACAACGTACTCGTCCCACAGCGGGTGCTTCGCCACGGTCGGGTGGGTTTGAGAAGCCTCGTAGATGTAGATGTCCGCATCCCAGTCAGCGTACACCGAGTAGTCTTTTTTGATGCTCTCCTTGATCATCTTCACCTCGACGCCGCTGGACCACGACAGGTTGGTACCGACCTCCGCAATCACTGGCCCGAAACACGCCAGCTCCTCGAAGCAGATGCTGAGCTTCAGCATGCCCGTAGTCGCACCCGAAACCGCAATGTATTCAGTCGCAACCATCGCACCTGCCTCGGGCGAACGCCTTGGGCGAAAGCGTTGGGTAGGGCGGCGGGTGCGGCGTCGAACGTGCACGAGCTTGAGCCACAATGTTCTATTCACGGGTGTTGTGCTGTTGAGCGTGTTGTTTTAGCCCTGGTCGGGTGCGGCACCCAAACACTGCTCCAACCCCAAACACACTGGGCGTGGACCCCAAACAGTGCGTGGACCCCAAACAGCGCTAGACCCCAAACAGCGCTTCGACCCCAAACAGAGCGGAATTCGATGCACGGCATTCGCACACGGCACCGCAATCCGATGCACGACACGGCACCGCAAGGGTGATGTTGGTGACGGTGAGTTTGACGGTGGTGGTGGTGATGGTGACGATTGTTGCATTTTCAGGCATGGCACTTTTGCAAATGCTTCATGTACCATTTGACGGCGGCGTTCTCTGTATACTTGGTCCTGTTCACATTCACTGACATTTTCCTGGCATGAAAATTTTCAGATTCATCTGCGTAGTTGTGCGTCCAACCTGGGTTGCCCGCGAAACGGGCTTGGTCCACGATATGTCTGGCGAACGCGTGAAATTTTATGGTGACGGTGCGACCGCTGTCGGCCCAGGCGGCCATCGTACGTTTGACGACGGCGTCCATGTGCGCCAGCGCGGGTTCGTCCATCCGACGAGGCTGGCTTTTACATATACCATAAAACTCAAGCATGCCTTCGCCGAAGGTTTGAAGTTTAGTTCCATCTGCGCCATCTGCAGCGCCATCCAACAGGGCCCGCCCTCCAGCATTCTTCAGGAGATGCGCGACGAAGCCGAGGAGTGAGCGTGTCTTGCCAGCCTTGAGTTTCAGAAATGGGTGTTCCCTGCCGCCGCACGCCTTCATGCACAAACCAAGGACCTTGTCGTTTTGAATGCGACCCTGCTGCTTCCACCAATGCATGTACATGTCGTGCAAGGCAGCGTCTACATGTGAAAAATCGTCCTCCGTGAAATCACCAAAAAACCCAGCGTCTGTCAGAGCCCAGATTGTAGCACCGTGGTAATAATGCAACATTCCGAGCTCGCAGACGTGCATAGTATCCAATAGGAAATGCTCTAGCCGAAGTCCTGGAACCCCCTCTTGGATGCCACTGACGCGGAACAACCTGCTCACAAACAGGATGCTGTTTTTGGGTCGTCTGAACACTAGGAATTTCCGACGCTCGACAGGGTACGTATCGACGGATTCCAGGTGCCACACGTCGGGGTACTTTGGCAGCGAAGGCTCGATGCGGTCGCCACGTCGCAACGACGGGAAAGCAGCTCGCATCTGACGTTGCACAATGATGCCTCCTGTCTTTTTTCGCGCCTTGCAGTTGTCTCTCAAGACCTGGACTGTGTCGTGTGTAACGCTGTGAAACGAAAAAGAAGATTCGGCTGTGTCAATCAGCCACTGGTGTTTCCTCTTGCGCAGTGGCGCATTCAAATCACTAAAAAGATTATTGTGTTGGAAACAGGCAATGCACCCATAATTGCTTCTGTAATCGGGGAGGCCAAAACTTTTTCCCAGCTCGTCCATGTCAGCTGCAACTTCGACCAGGGCGACCCTGCAATTTCCATAGCCGTGTCTTGATGGAAACAACGGCTTGGTTGCAACACGAGCCCTCCAACTTGTCGGGGGCCACGGACTCCCCCCGCTGTCGAATCTGGGCCACTCCCCGAGGGCTGCAGTTCGAAAGTCGAACGCAATCTTATCAAACAGAGCTTGCACAGTGTGGGCGCCGCGGCAATCGCATCGGCACATCATTCGGGCGTGGAACTGGCCGACAAGGATGCGTTCCCGCTGGTGGAGCGTCGCAACGAAAATCCGCCGCCCCGTGTAAAGGGGCACCACGCAGGGCGACTATATTAAGAACGCCACTGTTACTCGGACTCGCTCGGCGAGGGGCAGGGCGAGTAGGGGAAGGAGGGTGAGGAGGGGGAGGAAGGGGAGGGGGGCAGGAGGAGGAGGAGGAGGATAGGAGGAGGCGGAGGAGGGGGAGGGAAAGAGGAGGAGAGGAGTAGGTGGGAGAAGGAGGCAGCGCGCGGCCTCCCCCCCCCCCCCCCCCCCCCCCGCCTGCCACAGCGGACGCCCCCCCCGCTCGCTTCATGGCTGCATAGGGGGTTCCACTGAAGTCCTTAGTTGGTGGGGTGGGGCAATGTGCATCCCCCTCGCGCGTTTCGTGGCCTCATTATGGCGCCCACTCAAGGCCGCCGCGGGCGCGGCCGCGCGCGCGCGCCTACCGCCGCCCGCCGGAAGGGAGGTGCGCACCCCCCCCTCCCCCTCCCCCCCCCTCCCCCGCCACCGCGTGCGCGTGTTTCGCGGGTGCATGTAGGCCAGTTCCACGCAAG